CATCTTATGCAGTAGTAAACAGAAAACACTGTTAGACTTAAACATGAAGCAGCTTGCTCAAGATCACACAGCTACTAAATGGCACAGCAAGAATTTTAACTATCTGACTCCAAACTGTGCTAGTAACTGCAAGGGGGCAGCAGAGAGAAGAGCAGAAAAGGTAGAGAATGTATATTGAAAACTGTTTAACCTCAAGCAAAGAGGAAAAAATTTCAGCCTTATCAAATCACAGATTACCAATCTACATATTGAAACCACCTATGCAAAACTCCACATCCCTAAATGTATTCAACTCATCCTTAAAAGGCACCCTAAAAATAGAGGAAGATTTTCCTTCTTCAGGAATTCAGAGCATACAGTCTACACTATCTTCAAAATCTTCAACACACACTCTAAAACCTGGACTTTGGCCAAGATTCAGGAAAAAATCGTGTTGGTCAAATGTTCTCGTCAAAAAGAGTGAATATTAGCTGGACAACATGGCACATGCCTTTAATCCCAGTGACTCAGAAAGATTTTGAATTTGATTCTAGCCTGGGCTACTAAGCAAGACCCCCTATATCAAAACTAAGAATAAAAAAGATCTGGGGGTATATTTCACTGTCAGAGCACTTGCCTAATATGTGTGAGGCTCCAGGATCTATTCCCAATGCCAGAAAAAAAGCTGATACTATTCAACTTCCACATCTAACTCAATTAAATGAGATGATTTGTGTCCAAGTACTTTTTAAACTACAGTGTCGTGAATACAGCAGTATTATATGAAATTATTATCCTCAAGAGGAAAAAAAACCTTAACTCCAAACTACAAATGAAACTTACCAGATTTACTTCTCAAAAACACTAATTTTAACTCTCTCATTCCTCTAAAAACTATTTTGGTAGCTCATTCCCATCTATGAATAGAATATTATTGCTGTCTATAATGATTAAGGTGATTTTGCCTCGCAATGCCACACGTCTTGCTAGGTTCTTCATCTATGTCGTTTCTAATCTTTACAACTATCCTATAGGGTAGCTGCCATTATCATTTTCCAGGTGAAAAACTTTTGAGCCATTTCCAAATTTTGCTATTACAACAACAAAACAAAACAAGACAATACATATTTTTTCAAGTATATCTTTTCAGGTCATATTCATAAAAGAGGCATTTTGAAACAAATAATATATCTTTTATTTGAACATATGTTTATATTGTGTGTCTTAAGTTGTTATTGATATTAGCAAGTTTTAGGGACAGAAACAATTTATCTCTCCAGAACAAAACTATTTCGCTGTACTCTTTTTTTTTGTCTTTTTCCTTTTTATTGGTACCGGGGATCGAACTCACGACTGCCTGCTTGCAAGGCAGGCACTTATGCCACTGAGTTAAATCTCCAGCCCTAATTTCCCTATACTCTTGTCCAGACTGGATGTCATAGTTATTTAAACACATTTTAGTTAATCCACTGGAACAAAAAAATTATATCTTAGGGTTCTTAATCCTAACAATCCTTATTATCCTCCTATTGCTGGTCCTTTGCTGTTCAGAATTTTTAAAAAGCCCAAAGGGGAAATACAGAATGGAGAACAGCTTGAAAATAGTGGCACACACCTGTAATCCCAGGACTCAGGAGCCTGAGGCATGAGAATCACTGTGAGTTTGAGGCCGGCCTGGGCAACAAAGTAAGTTCAAGACCAGCCTGAAATATAGTGAAAGCTTACCTCAAAAAAGATTAAAAAAAAAAAAAGAAAGGGGAAAAAAAAGGAAAGAAAGAAAAAAATATATAATTTGCTTGCTCAACACATTAAAAACTGTGTTATTCTTCATGAGAGTTACTTTCAGCTTTGCTTTTTCCTTAAATTATTTAAGCAATAACAAAAGACATGGTTTGGGGGGAGAGTACTAGGGATAGAACTCATGACTTTGTGCTTACCAGGGAGGCACGTATGCCACTGAGCTAAATCCCCAGCCCAAAACACATGACTTTTAAAAATCATGTACCATGGGGAATCAAATGTAATCCAGTCTTATTTGGTACAAATTCAATATATTTTATTCATCTCCATAGCGTTTAGTATATTTTTACATTTGGAGGACTCTGGCTTATTATATATTTTTAAAAGTAAATCTATAGCAATTATTCAGAAAAGTAACGATATTTTACTTATAGATAATAAAGACATATCAGTAAAATACAAGTAGATTTTTCTACAAACTGCTTAACCTTTGTATGGCATTATAGTAAAATAATCACAAATTAATGAAGAGTCCATATTTGATTAAATTTCAAACATAAGACACAATATTGTAGTAAATGTACTCCACAGTATCAAACTAAAAAAACAAACATTTTAAATCTTTTGCGAGTCTTCCTCCTCCAGTTACCATCAACATGACAATCCACTCAGGTTAGAATAAAAATTATCATAGTTGGCCACCAGTCACAATGTTTATGCTGCATAAAGAAATCTGTATGCAACTTCATTTATTGTTTTTATGGAACTGACCAACCAGGACCAGATGGTCTAAAAACAGCATCATAAACTCTTTACTCCAATGGGAAAGTATTTAATGTTACCGAAATAAGAATCTTGTCCTGATGCACACAAAAATGGAAAGCTACTTAATCAGAAGCTGCACTGTATTTTTATAGTGAGCAAAAGACAGCACTGCTACCTTGTAAGTTTAATCCAGTCTTGTTTATGAAACAAGTTTTCTTGTAAACTCAAATCTTTTAAATGCTTAATCTAATAACACTCATTTAATCCACAAATACTTATGGATCTTACTGTGTGGAAATCATTGGAAGATGACAACGTGGAAACAAAGACTGATAAAACTGAGGCTCTTACAAATTACAGAAACAATTTTAACATAATATGGACAGTGTTATGCCAAATAACAAAATTTTAAAAAGCACTCTCAAAGTCAAAGGAAAAATATTACATATTGTGAAAAGAATATGAAAAACTCCCTCAGTAGAATATGTGAGCTGTCCCTTTAAGGGTAGACAGTTGGGAATAAAGCAAGAGAGGACAGGTGTGCCTGCCCAGGGAAGAGAGAGAAGAAAAACCTGTCACAAGCAGGAGCCAGCCATGAGGTCAGGCTTGCAGAGGCACACCACTGGAAAAGGGAAATGGAAGACATAAGGTAAGAAAGAACTGGAGAGAAATTAAAGTGGCCATACATTCTACACTCCATTCTCTAAGGTTAAAAACCCAAATGGCAATCATTTTCCTCTCCTTCATCTGCAAAGAAATCTTTTCTGTCAAAATTTTCTTCTCAACTGAATTCACTTGCTAACTTGCTTTCCACAACCTGACTGTGCCTTCCTCTAGAGCAGGACTCATATACAATTCATTTTTATAACCTCAAATGCCTGGGGCATCAGTGTCAAGCGTTTATAAGTTACCGAACAAATATATTTATGAATATACTACCCATGTCATTTAAATTTCCTGGAGCTTGGATACTCATATATACCAGGAATTACCAAATTTTTTTATATATATAAAGGCCTACATAGCATATTATTTTAGGCTGAAAAGCCAGTGTCTCTCACAACTACTCAACTCCACAGTTATAGAGAAAAAGCTGCCAAAGTCAACATACAAATCAATCGGCATACCTGTGTTTCAATAAAACTTTATTTACAAAATTGTTCCATGGGTATACTCTGCCAACACTTCATTTATACAAACTTAAAATTTAGTATGTTATATTATAAATAAGTATTTAAATAGGTATATTCAAACCTTTTGTGTGTGTGTGTGTGTGTGTGTGTGTGTGATACTGGAGATTGAACTCATGATCTCACACTTGCCAGGCAGGTACTTACACCACTAAGCTAAATCCCCCGCCTTCAAACCATTTTTATGACAAAATTTCAGCCAGAATTCTAAGGAATATAAAAAAGAACAGGGTATATATGAGAAAAACTGCAAAACACCTCATCCAACCAGGCAAATCTGGCTATCTGGACACTTAACTAACTTCTCAACTCCAGATGGCCCTTCAGGCCTTACCCTAAATGATAAAACTTGTTAACATGAACAATTTTAAACTAGAATTCTGTGATCTTAATAACTGTCTGACATTATATTTATAGAAATTTCAAATGGAAATTTTTTTTGTACTGGAATTCGAACACATGACCTCGCACTTGTCAGGCAAGAGCTTGTGCTGCTATATTCCTGCCCTGAAAATCTCATTTAGACAATGTTTACAGTTATAAATAATTTTGAATCCTTAGAACAAAATACAAATTACCAACCGGGGGAGGGAGTATTCATATACCTGGCATGATTAATCCCCCCAAAATTCACAACTGAAATCATATTTTACACCTAAAAACCAAGGTTTACAAATCATATTGAAAGTAATTAGTAAATACACCTGAAAAATAATTTTAATAACAAGTTCAATTTAATTTATCTAATTAGGATGGTGCTATGGAATAGTCAGATCATTAAAAAATTTTTTTTCCTAAAACAGAGGCAGTCAGATTTGGCCTCAAATGCTAAACTTACAAAAACAAAAAAAGGGAAAAAATAGTGTTACAGGCTGGGGATATAGCTCATTGGCATGGCGCCTGCCTAGCAAGTGCAAGGTCAGGAGTTCAATCCTTGGTATCAAAAAAAAAAAAAAGAATCTTATTTCTGACTTTATATTCTGTGCTAGTGGCATAATTAAATCACTATAACATCACTGATTTCTCTGATATATTTTATTGTATATTTTAAAAATCTGTTTTCCTTAATTTTAAAAATCAAAGACCATGCACTATGCAATACACTAGACATAACGGCAATTTTATACATTTTCCACTTTTATAATTCCATTTCAAATCAAGATTTGGGTCCCAGAAGAAAAAACATCTTCATTTTTCACAATTTTCAAAGAATTGGTAGCTGAATTAGAACATTATAATTCATCAGTACCCACATTTACAACAGCCAGGCCACTACACTGTTTTCTAAAATATAAATAAACATTTTCTGATTCATTACAAACTTACCAAACACCTGGCAAATTCTTTGTTTTCTGAAAGGAATCCATAACCTGGATGTACCTTAAAAATGGAAGAAAAAAAAAAAAAAGCTCTTTACATATTAAAAAACCTATATAAGCAACATGTAGAGTGCAGTTTTGTTTTGTTTTGTTTCTCAAGTGCCCTTGAATAAACTTACTTCCCTCACATACTGAAAGGTCTAACTCATACTTCTGGATGCAAAATGAAATTCCTCCTCTGTTCTAGCTGTAATCAGAGCCATGTATCATAATGCCGTTACAGATGTTTATATGATTCAACACAAACTCCCCTACTTTTTCTAAGGCTTGGCCAAGTTTGGAAATTTCACAATAGCTGACACATAAAAGAATACTTACAGGATCATGACAAAATGGGTGAAAACTTCTGAATTCCTCTTTCTTTAAAATACCTAGAACTGCTACTTTCCAAACCCAAGCTATTAAGCCAACACATTTTATTTCTGATGGTATGCAACTAGCTAAGGAGCCTTTTTGATCAAGCTAAACTAAAGCAGAAGTTTGATTTTACCTTGCACTGTATTCTGAATTTTTTTCCTAAAATCTAATCTTCTTCCCTCATTCCAATTTAGACACAACTACTTTATGCTACCTTCCCCCACAAGCCACACTGCTACTATATAAATTCTACCATCCTGTTCTAATCAACTAATTTTTTTACCCATCACATGGGTCAAACATAAATTTAGCTACTCCAGTATCAGTGTTGAACAAGTTTCTAGCAAAGCGATTATGCTAAAAGGAAAATCAAATTTCTGAAAGAGCCAATATTATAACCTAGAAACAGCTACATATCAGAGATTTTTAAATGCTGAACTGAGCTTTCTGAACATGGCAGAGAATCATTTAAACTACTGCATCAGAGAAAAGGTTTCATTCTACCAATTTCATTGCATATAAACATCCAACTAAAATTTATACTCTGACAAACTAGAGTTAAAAGGTTGACAGTTTTACTTTCATTAACTGTGCTAATAAAGTGTAAACATCTAATAATATAGGCTCATGAATTCAGATTTATTTAAACATGTATCTTGCTAACCATTTCTTTCAAAGAAACGTGAAAACTAATTGAAGCATTCCAGGCTAATTTCCAGTGCTGGCTGCTTCCATCCAGTTTGAGAGATAACTCTGCATAGTTTTTAATATTGTATGTAATTACTTCTCTGATATTTAAAAAAAAAAGACCGCTGTTATAACTGATATCAGAAACCAGTTTTTTCTTTGGATTCCACTTTACTCAAACCAAATTAAAAGTAAACTAACTGATTTATCTGTCAGCTGTGGGCATCTTATTGACATTAATAAACTAAAATAATTATTAAAATGACTACGTGCTTTTTATTTTTGAAAATATAATTGGGTATACATAATTTTTAAACATTTAAAATGGAATTAAAAAGGGATCTTTTGGCTCCTCTTCGTCACAGAGTTTTTCTGTTGTTGTTTTTAACATTCTTATTACACTGAAAGGGTTAATACTCAAAACTAATTGGAATTTCTTTTTTCCTAGCAAATTTGGAAATGAACTGAAACTGCTCCCTGGTGTGAAAGCTGAATCCAGCAGCCACCTGCAGGATCAGCAACCAACACTGCCAGATGCTACAAAGCCTTTGATTTCCAGTAGCGAATTCGGCCACATTTAACTCGTGTGACATGAACTAACTGCAACAGCATTTTCAATCATTCTCTCTTATTTTTTTTTTAAATACAAACTTTAGCTTTCTGCTCACTACATATGAAACAGCTGCACAGATAGGTTCATTCAGACTCACAGCTTGGGCCCTGGTTCTCCTAATGGCGTCTATGATGGCATCCATGTTGAGGTAGCTTTTACTGGTGGGAGCTGGGCCAACACAGACGGCCTCATCCGCCATTTTCACATGAACCTGAAGAGACAAATCCCTGCATTAACAGATGTTCCCAGCAAAATGAATTACCATCATCACAAATATACACAAAATTGCAAATCTAACTGTTTCACATATCATTTGCAGAGTCAGATTTCTTTCTAAATATGCATTAAAAAACAACAATGCAACAAAAAGGCTCAGGAACATATTACCCATGATTTCATTTATTACGAATCTAATCTACTATCTAGCCAAACATATTCATAATACTTGCCTCCTATTTAAGTAAAATCACAACGAACAATTTTAGCTTCCTATTCTGTTCATATATGTATAAGTCTGATATCAAAAACTACCTTGTTACATGTGGCCAGGGTAGCCCAATATTTTTAATAACAAGCGGTCATGCCCAGTTCTAAGCAAACTCCCCAGGAAGTTGGGATAATTAGAGGGACTGAATGGAGAGATGCAATGAGTGTCCCTGCACAGCATCAGGTCAGCACCAGGCACAAATTAAAGCCTAGGACTAAAGAGTTCAATATCACAACACATGAACCAGAAAATCTTGAGAACCATTTAAATACTCTCACATTTGATCCTTGTCTGTTTTACATTTATTTCTAAAAGAACTGATAAGTATTAAGCTGTAAATCTATTCAGAATTCAAGAAGATGCATCCTATTTTTAAGACTACTCACTTGACAATTTTTTAAATCTATTTTTGCTAAAGAGATGCTAGAGAGGCATTTGATACTGAAACATGTAAATTGCTTAATCCTAAAAGAAATCTATTCTTTAAAAATAGTGCATGCTTTCCTCAGTTTTCCAATTTAAGAAACTCACAATCAGATAATTATCTTATGAGCTAAATGTATAAAACTGAAGCACAAATATATATCTGAACATTTATGACCTGCTCCCTTACAAAAAAACAAAAACAAAAACAAAATGTATAGGCCACAAATATTTCGAAGTATTTCTAAATTATACTCTTTAGTTCTGGATTAATGTTTCAAAACAACTTTGTTTTAAATGATATATATATAAAACACCTAAAATAGTATTTTAGAAAACTCAAAATTTTCCATTTACTTTCAAATTAAGTAAAAAATTACACTGTATATTAAAGGTAAAAAATATCTTCCTATGGGATTTATAAAGCAATATCTTAATATAAAATACTCAAATATAAACACTCTAATTTCTTTAATAATATCAATTGTAACAAAAGACAGCCATACTTTTAAAAGGGCTTCTAAATATTTTCACATTTAAAGCAAGGCTCTCCCCTCTGGTTATCTTGCCTGGCTTATTCTGAATCTGAGGTTTCTCTTCTGCCCCCAGACCAGAATGACACCTCCTCTAGTACCTGCTGCCCATTTCAGACATTATTATCTACTTTTTGTTACTATTATGGTTCTGTTTTTTTCCCCATAAGAAAGAAACTTAATACTTAATAATTCTCTTAAAAGAGCTCATTACTAGATAAGGATGAAGTCTCTACTTCAAATTATTTTTATTTATTGTACTTGTCTCAATGCTATCTATTACTAAAGATAAACTTTCACCAGTGGGACTACCCCAAATACTTCAGATTTGGTTTAACCCCCTTAAATCTGAACTCCATTAGAACATAGCACAAAATTTGGCATTTAAACCACATTCTACCTAGCAATCTCATTTTAACTGTTTTACAGATTATGATTTATACTGTCCTCCATCAGACTTCTCTGTCTAGAAAACAGAGTAAGTCTTAAACATTTTTTCACCACGTTTGTAGTATGTAATGATTATATCCCCACTGTATCTTCTCATTCCCTGCCCTTTCCCTCATTCTTTGATCTCCTTCCCATTTGAGAAAGATCGCCTTACTTCTTATTATCTGCCTTTTATTTTGCTTTTTATTTATATTTTGGATTTCTCATATAAGAGAAATTATGTGACATTTAAACTGGTGTTTCTGATTCATTTCACTTAACACTATGGTCTCAAATTTGCATCCTTTTTCCTACAGATCATGAAAGCTCCACTCCATTGGCCATTAGAGAAATGCAAATTTAAAAACTAATGAGATTCCAACTTACCCCAGAAAGAACCTCTATCATCAAGAAATCAAGTAATAAATTCTGGTGGAAGGCAGGGAAGAGCTCCCTATATTGTTGACGAGAATGTAAAGTAGTACAACCACTATGGAAATCAGTGTAAAGATGCCTCAAAAGAATCAGGTATGAGGGCTGGGGATTTAGCTCAGAGGCATAAGTGCCTGCCTGCCTTGTAAGCACGCCGTCCTGAGTTCGATCCCCAGTAACAATAAAAAAAAAAAAAAAAGAATCAGGTGCAATGGCACATGCCTGTAATTCTAGCACTCGGGAGGCTAGGCAGGAGGATCACCGTGAGTTCAAGGTCAGCTTGGGCTACATAAGCAAGTTCGAAGCCAGCCTGGGGTATACTTCAAGACCCAGTCTCAAAAAACATTTTTTTTCCTCAAAAAACCAAAACTAGAAAATTCCATTTGACCCAGTTATTCCCCTTCCAGGTATCTTCCAGAAGAATCAAACATAATATCACAGTGATTTATGCATACTTATGTTAATGGCACAATTTACAATAAATACTGATCAACAGAATAATGGATAAAGAAAATGTGATACTACTCTATCTCAAATTCTTTTTCTTTTAAATGTCCCCAGCAGTGTTATGTACTAAGAACTCATCAACTCAAAGATATAGTGGAAGACAAGCTAAAGCCATTGTGAGAATTTTAATATGCATATGGCAACTGTAGTTGTATGAAAGAAATAAATTAAAACTACATATGCCCATATGAATGCATTTGTAAGTCCAAAATTTCTATAACGAACATGCATCAACAAGTAAAAAAGAGGAAGGAATCCTAGTAGTATTTGGGCTTTTAATTCCAGTGTTTATACTTTTGTAAAAACATTGCAAGCATAATCTTGCAGTCTCCATTTTTTTAACTATCATCTATTCCTACATTATCACAAACTCTTCATAAACAAACCAAGAACTAGCCCACAGCCTAACATATCACATTTTCAATATTATTATAATAAACATTCAAACAAATTATATATCACAAGAGGATCAAAACTACATAAGGACTTTACAAAGAAGGTCAAATACAAACTGCTTCTGCAGAGGACTTGGTTCTTTACTTCCATCGCTCAGAACCAGCATTATTACTTGAAGACAAGGTGTATTTAGATCTTAAGAAGCCCACAGTCTAGGCCCACAACTACCCTGGGCAAGGTCACTCAGAGCAAACACATTCCTCAGCCACCCCGGTTCTCAAGAAGACATTTATGAGGCAATCTGAAGAGGACAGTTTAAAAATTTTTTCATAAGACTGAGGATATGACTTAGTGGCAGAGCCCTTGTCTTGCATGCAAGAGGCCCTGGGTTCAATTCCTAGCACCACAAAAGAAAGAAAGGGGGGGAAAAAAAAGAAAGAAAAAAAAAACAAAACACTTTTGATAATCTGGACTAGTGAGACCTGTCTCAAAAAAAAAAAAAAAAAACTGAAGCTCAGTTTCAGTTTTGTTACCATTGTATCAAAAGTGTAGAATGTTTTCTTTGGCCTATATAAAATAAACTATACATAAGCAGCACAAAAAACTGTTCTAAAGAGTAACAACATTACCTAAACTGACCATAATCTGTTTCAAAAATTTCAGCATCCAAAAATATAAATTCCTTTTTATACACTTTAATATTTTAAATTGAGATAAATTAATTGATAGTATTTGCTATGCTTCAAAAAGAAAAATGTATTTTAAGCATTTATGGTGAATACAGCAGTTGTAAACATTTACAGTCCCAAAAACTAAGAGATTTGAAACCCGATTGTTAGTTTCTCCTCAAGCATCTACAAATTCATATCCAGTTTTTACTCTTTAGAAGAAAAGTATTTGTAAAAGTCTATTACTTTCCAAGCAATGAACCTGTCTGTGTATCAGATTTGGGGTTTTCCAGTGAATGATCCCACCAACTTTCTTACAAATTCCTTGCTCCCTCTAGGACAGTAGTTTTCTGGATCCCAAGAGGACTCCTTTCCATTTTTCACTGAAATTCTGGTGCTGCCTAAATTAAAGTTAGGGATCTCTTTAATATTTTGCATTTCATAAAGCAGGACAGGCATCATGTACAGTTTCATTTTCATTCATGAACCAAGAGTTATGAACAGTAATATAATTTTCTAAAAAGAAATTTATGGGCTGGGGATTTGGCTCAGCAGTGTAAACACCTGCTTGGCAAGCACCAGGGCATAAATTCAATCCCTGGTACCAAAAAATAAATTTAAAAATTTTAAGGCTATCATGAAAAAAAACACCCCCCCCAAAAAAACCCTTAGCAATAGTCTAATATGGCATAAAAATGGGTATGTGAAAATGATCATGTCAAAGTTACTATAGCCACAAAAGGACTCTAACCATGGCTAACATACGTTATCATTCCTATATTCATGTATCTTCATGGTAACTACTGTTCTCATAGTATCTATTTTACCTGATACCGTGGCATTCCTAGAAACTTGCTTTTCTAATCTCAAATTCCATTGTCCATTATTATGCACTGCTGCTGGGTTTCCAAAAGATTGGAAAATCCTGGGTTTTTAGTCTATGGTTTGTTAGTTTCTATGGGTTGGAAGTTTCAGACAATACCAAAAGAGCAGTTAAATCAACTGTCCAAATGCTCCCTCTCTCCTGAAAGTTTCTGGCAGTCTACAGCTAGCTCCCTGAGTTTGAAGGCAATCATCAAACAAAGTTAAGGAGTTCCAGAAGTTTCCTTTAGCACAATGATTAGTGAGATAAAACCTGAAGTCACCAAAAGTACTTGTCAGTGTTTTTATTTTCTCTTTAAAAATATTCTTCCTTTTCTCCATCTCCCTCCCAAAAAATATTCATCTATAATTGAGGACAGGTTAAGTAGTTTAAAGGAACTCCAAAAATAATTTTGATTTCTGTCTCAAGCCTAATAATTAATTTTCTTAATCAGTGGTGATGAACCTACAGCAT